AAACTTGCCTAAACATTGAAAAGTCATCTTCAAATGCATGTTCATTCGCCGGTGAGGAGGTGTCGATGTTACAAGTACACTGCAACTCGTTTTATCGTAGTTCAAACGGAGAGACCTAAATGGTCCACAGTTTCTTCCCGACCAACCAAGACGAGTTAAAACAGACTTTTATCAGCTAGGAGAAGTGAATGGTAATGGTAGAGATCTCCACTTCTGAAGTTGGAGGCTAAAAGGTGTCGCTATAGTCTTCAGCACAGGCGTCGGAACATCCTCGCGAGACTTGTTGTGCGCTGCTTTGTTTCGTACAATCGCATATGCTTCAAGGGAACTGAGGCAGTGATAGGATTGCAGAACGATCGCATTTGATTCCATTTTACATGCCAAATTGTGACAACAGCGAGGTACGTGGTCGGTCTGGCCAAATACGCAAAAGTCTGTGTATAACAGGAAAGATAGCCATCTTAGCATGCAAAACCCATTTGTAGCTCACTGTAACATTCACCGCTAGTATCATCGGGTGGTCCTACTGTCGAACACACTCATATTAATCATCTCAACGCTAACTCTTGTAGTATGTGGTGCAGGATTTGAGAAGTACAGGTGGTTGGTGCACAATCTTTGCTAACAAGGCAGGAATGCTGCTTCATTTGGCGTCTCAACACATACTGGGAATGACGATGTGGCGCTTTGGACAATATGCTCACAACATATGACCTCGATTACAATAGTAATGAGAGTTGTGGGAGTCGGTGAAATCGAATGAAATTCAACAGCCGGTGTGTGGGATACTACTTTCCAACATAAGTAGTATTGTATCAAGTGTAGGCCAATTGAAGGAGAGACAATGAAAATGCACACATTTAATTGCTTTGAGTTTTTTTGACATTTAGTCAGGGTATGCTGGTGAAAAAGGTGTTTGGTCTTGCGATTCGAAAATTCCGTAAACCTTCAAAACTGTGAGAACGACCAACTCGTCTGTAAGACAAGGAGGAGGCAGAAAAGGCAATGCAGGTGCTCTTACTGTACTTTGGACATCTTAAAAGGGTGGTATGCTTGTCCACTGCCTAATCCAGACATTGAATGCATGAAGTGCGATCACAAAGACAGCAGCGACTGATGGTAGGACTTACCATTCTTTTGGTAGTGCAGAATTCGAGAGTTGATTTTGGGTAGCCATCGACTACCCTTGGGAAAGCCGATGCCATATCCTGTCATTGCGTACAGGTTGCCTACCGTCTTCAATTTACATCCGTCGTCCCTTGATGTCCAGTACTCCAGCACTGTGGCATCATAAATGAAGGCGTCGATTTCTCTGCGACAAATAAAGGCTCGTTTTGTGGATGTAAACGAAGTATGGAACCATATTTTCATATTGATGATCGTTAGGAGGGAGAGGAAGGATTTGCAACTGTATAAAAGAAACTACTTAGCTGTCATATATCTTACCGAAAATACAATAAATTTGACTACCAATCTGTTTCTTCATCGTTTCTTTCACGCCAATACCTAAATTTGGGTTGCTTGAGGCTATTTTCTGACTGATCGACCACGGTGGCGTGGTGAGAAGGTGGCTGCGTGCTCGACCAGGAGGCCTCGAACTAGGGCTGTTAAAAACTCGCTAACGGGCTCTCCCTCTCCCAACTCAGAGGCATTCACAACCTCATCATAAAGAGCGCTTTGAATGTGATGGATTGTGGTCCATAAGTGTCTTCCAGAAGTTGTTCAGACGTTTAGGATTATCGCAAATTTTACTTCTCAATTGTCCTTTCTTTCTCCCTTCTCTGCCTCTTATTCGCCTTCCTTTTCTTCTTCATTCGTGCCTTCCACTTCCCTCCCCTCAAGCGGCAACCACGAATGGATGGAGGTAGCTTCATCTTTGGATTTTCATGCATTTCGTAGTTTCCTTAAGATTAATCAAGTCACAACAAAAATCACAGTTGTGTAAATAATGTTGTTTTGTTGGACAAAGAAATCAAAAAAAAATTAACATTTACAGCCCCTCTCATCGTCACTGACGTCGAATACGGAACTAGTGATAGGGCGAGACATTCCAAAGACTTGCATCAGTTGTGCGACTTTTGCACATTCCACAAATTGAAGCCTTTTTTAACTCTACGGTTGCTATTTGTAAAAGTCTGTAGTCCTAACTTTTATCAGACCTTCTTTTTTTAAAAAAAAATGCTTCTCAAAAAAGTAACAATTAAAAGCGTCTTCAAGGCTTGAATCAGCAACGATTCAAGCCGACTTAGTTGAGGCTGCGGTCCGTGCCAGCTGGACAAGGTGCTTGAACTCGAGACAAGAAGGTTTCCTCTCCCAGAGGAGCGTTTGTTAATTGTTTGAAAGGAATAAAGCCATAACAGTGCCTCCCTTTGATTAATGCTTGTCTCGTGATCCACCCGATTGACAATAGCGATGTCAACCACGTCAACTCAGTTGTCAATAAGATTGAAGCATGTTGAGGTTTAATAAGGAATGGAGACTGCCACCTACTCGGATTTTAGGGACTTCAAACCCTCCAACACCGTTGTCCGATTGAAAGCGTGCATGTAGGCGGCCATTTCGGGGAAGTTAATTTTGATATTCTCCTCTGTGGCTCCACTTGGCACGGTGGCAAATCGAAATGGAGGTTTGTGGTTCCACGGTTGTTGTAGCTAAAAGGCGGTTTCAAAGATTTTCGTTGGTAAAGAAGGAGGAGGAGGAGGAGGAGGAGGAGGAAGAGGCGAGATGAGACAGTTCAGTTCGAGGTGAAACTAAATAATTTGTTCTACTTATTTTGCTTTGTATATTTTTATTTTACAATTTTTTATTTTATACCCATTGGATGAAGAATGTTGGTCGGAATTTTTAAGTGCATTTTGAGAACCAATTTGGGGGACGTTATCATTTATCGACAATAAAACTGGAAATACAAATTTGTGTTGTTCCCTAACTGCATCTACTAAATTCTTATATAAGTAGTAATCTGACAATCGAAAGTGGAGAGACAGACCCTCCAATCGTGGATGCCCTTGAGATCGTAAAAGTCATCCTTGGAGATCATGAAAGCGGCCAAATTGGCTGTGTAGGAGGCGAGGAAGACGAGAGCAAAGAGTGCCCATATGTTGGCCATAAAACGACTGGCCATGCCTCTGGGATTGTCCGCATTCACCGCGGCTCCGAACAACATGGACCAGATTAACCACAATGAACGACACATTGTAAATCGGTGTTCTAAAAGGAAACAACTTATTGACACACCACCTACACGGAGGAATAAAAGTTGCTCAAACCAAACAATTCCTCATTCTGGACGTGTAATCGTGGACCGAGGTGAGGACACAGAGACCGAAAAGGATACACAATTTGTGATGCAGTTAATTGCCTTCTTTTTTACGTAAGTGATAAAGTTTTGTGTGTTTTGTCCTCGCTTCTGTCCGAGTATTCATGACCTAGAGACAGATTTTATTCTATGTCACTGATCCACTAAAAGTGGCAACATTTGCGACAAATTTACAGTCCAACCAACATCATTTGCTTTACTGGTGTGGAAGAAATTGTGGTCAGCTTTACAATGTAAAAAAGCCTAATCCCTTTTAAGAAGGGATTAGGCTTTTTATTTTGCAAGAGCAAGGATTTAAACAAATCAATTTGACAGATATGCGTCCGGGGGCTTATGCAAAGATGATTTTATTTCCGGACAGTCTCACACATCCTATCAATTGGGTGGCCAAAATGCTAACAGCCGAGTGGGCTGGTGTTCGGACTGCGTCTATCGTCCGAAAATGCCTTCTTTTAGCGTCGAGACGGGATTGAGACCCTACAACCTCGTACAGCCATCTCCACTGTCAATGAAACTGCCCTCGGGGGGACGTCGATTGCATCACCTCGACTTCTGTTCTGTCAAAAAAAGCACTGAACCACGTGCTTTTAGCAAGTAGCAGTGGGAGAGCTGGCGCTAAATGCCCTTGTTTCGTGATGGCTTTTATTCAACACACTCACAACAGTCACACACACACACACACACACACTTAATGGCAACATTTATTGCAGGTTTTGATGGATGGTGTTGCCCGCCTCCGGTCGGTAATGCATTTAACGCCTAGGGGAAAATGCCCTCTGGACTTTGATAGGGCTAAATCAGTCCTGACAACCGATACCCTTTGGTTGAAAAGAATTATGCAAAAAGATTGGAATAGAAATTTACAGCTCCACATTGTTCCAATAGTTTGTAAATTTGATGGCGCTAAAAACAGATCTGTGTGTTTACTAGAAAAAAAAATGCCATTTTTAGAGATCCCCTACTGCGGACAGAATGGTTAATGCAAGAATCTGCACTGCAGGTAAGTCCACAAACCTGGTCTGGAGTTGGAAGAAGCCTGTCTATCGGGGCAGTACTCTTCACCGTCACCGTAGGAAAGAAAGGTAGCCACACTACGGCCGTCTACATGTGAAGTGTCCAGAAAAGCACCTCAAAGGCAACCTCCAGTGCCTTCATTTAATTTACTGTTGCGGCCATGGGCCACGTCGCTACGCAACGAGTAAGGCGAAAGACTGCTAAGTACCACTTCCAAAATATACGTCAAATGAAAACATCCAAACCGTTAAAGGGCAACAAAGCTAATCATGACGTCTTCAATCTTTTTGTTATTGTTGAAATTGATACGCTGTTTTGCAACATTTCCTCCACCTGTCGTGGCTTTAAGGAAGACGTTAAATGTTAGCATTTGGCTAGTCCGTCAAAAAAAAAGACTTCCAAAATCTCCGTCTGCAGATGAAGTCTGGTGGGATTTTTTGGCCTCCACCTTCAGTGTGATATTCAGAGCTTTGGTGTGGATCGGGAAAAGTTCAAATGAATCACACTGCCTTTGATCACTCGCTTTTATTGCAGCTCACCGTGATGCATTGGTTTGGCGACAACACCAAAGTGGAATGATGTTTTTTTTTTACCAAACTCTTCGGTCCACTGCTTCAAATTAAGTAACGAAATGCAAGCCTGAAGTTAAGCTGGTTACATGGTATAAGGCCCTACGTTCTCAGCTCCAAGTTACCGATCCACGGTCAGCAAAGCGATCAAAAGTTGCAAAAAAAAACTATGGATTATAATTACCTCGTGGTATTGAGTTAGGCTGACCTAAAAGACAGCTTACTGGGAGCCTAGTATTTTAAGGCAAAAACAGCTTCTCTCTCTTCTCCTCCTCCTCCTGGGAAGGGACTAGTCAAATGCTTAAGTCTGAAAGCACACAACCTTAATACTCGACTAAGAGGTAGTTAGAAGTTATAGCGGAACAGTTGAAAGGGTCTGCCTTTCCTGGCATCCTGTCACGAATGATTGGGAATGCCATTTTGGTGCCCTCCATGATGGTAATTATATGAGTGTTCGGATGGGTATTGAGCAGTTAAGCAAAGGAGATAAAAGCACATTCAATCGTGTTTACAGATCTATGGCATGCTCAAAAGTGAATGCAATGAAAATTTAGAGTGTCTAAACTATCCACCCCTTTAACCTCGGATATAACAAAACAACTACTTATATACTACTCATTTGGTTGCAAGTAGTATCGGACCCCTATTTGGCTAGAATCATTATGAGAAGGGGGTGGATAGATTTAAACCTCTTTACACATTGTAAAAAAATAAAAGCAACAGCTGCTTTGTCAAAGCCTCTTAGAATACAGCATAAAGTAATTTTGGGGCTTGTGTGCACGTAAATTTGGAGTGAGATGAAGGCTGAGAAATCCATTCCGTCTGAAATCGTCACAGTCAACATGAAGTAATGTTAAACGTTGTTGTGTTATTTGCATCGAATAATGTTTTCTGATTTGCTAAAAGATAATTTTTTTGTTGTTTTTCTGCTCTCTAATGCACTGCCTTTACTCCCAGTAGTCACACCTTTTACGACTTTGATTTGGACAGAAAATTTTTGTGCGTTATTTATCTGTAGACAATTTTGAAAATAATGTTCAAAGTTTGTAGTTTATCCAGCAATTAACTCAGTGTAGAAAGCTCAATCACCTTACAACTCCTAGATCGGGTGGTGATAGTACACCAGTGAGGGATGCCTTTATGTTTCCTGAGGTTTTGCACCAAAGAAGACGCATAAAGACCCCAACTCGGTCATTATTAGCGGCTATCCAAGAATCTTCCCAAATAAGGATTAGTTGCATTAACAACTGAGTCTCAAGGAGCGTTATTTACTAAAATACATTATGAGCATTTAAATTGATGCAACTAACAAACCTGATGACTAGAAGGCGATAGGGTCTGGTTTACCTGGAGTCACAAGTCGTCCACGAGCCTGTCCAACAGGCGACAGCCATTCGTAGAGGTAGATGGCAGCACCTGAGGCGTGAACACTGAAGAGTAGTATGATGCACCAGCACTGATAGTCATAGGGCTCTGAAAATCAGTTTAGACGGTGTCTCAGTCAAGCTGTCAACTGGTAACCACTACGCCAAGTCAAAAGTATAAAATGAATTGCATTGAATTGCAGTCATTAATGTTAGTAAACCTGTACAAGGTAGAATTAACGCTTCTTGGGCACCTGTCACTCGATGACAAGGGAAGAAGCTCTTTCTCAACTTCCAAAAAAAGCCACCCCTTTGTCCTGAAAGCTGGTCGTGGTGTGAAGCTCCATGGAGGTTAAAGAGGGCGCAAATGATCATCTCTTACCCAAGAAAGCCGTCGGTGAAATGGCCCCTTCCCTTAGGGCCACGGTAATGGCAATACCGGTTTCCAGAAAAGGCACACTAAAATCAATCTGTTCGGAGCGATTTGGAGTTATTTTTAACGAAGTTATGGCCATATCCGCTTTGAGATCCATTAACTCTCGCACCAAGCCGTTCCAGCCCTGATTCTGAGAAAAAAAAATATATAGACAAGTCATTGGAAAGTTGAGAACCACTTGTTGACAGTTGGAATGGCGGTAAGCATTCATCGGCTTTTAGCTTTTATTTCTTATAAATACAATCGCACCTCTAATTAACACATTTTCTCTAAAATGTGGTCAAAGTGTTAAACACGAGAACAGTCTGCAACGTACAGTCCAACCACCCCACAAGCGGTCCTTCACCTCATACAATTCCACCTCGAAGTTGAGATCCTTCATGAGCTCAATTAGGAGATCCATTGTCAGTCCAGTACAACAGGCAAGTTGTCTGCCTTGTCGAGTTTCTGATTGTTCATTGGAAGAGGCGTCTTTGGTTCCATTTAAGTACTTTATTTTCGAGGCTGCGGAGTTGGCTTTCTTGCGTGAACTTTCACCGTCATCTCGAATCCAGCAGGGAACCGAGTTGGCGTCACATGATCCATCCTCCTGCATACAAGTTAGGTGGAACTAAAGCCACTGCGTCAAATTTGAGGCTCTAAAAGTCACCTAAACTTATTTTTGCCTTTTAACTTCGCCGGACCTTCAAGGTATTGCCACCTAGAAGCCGTCTCTCTCAAATTTTTTAATTGTTACTATCAAGGAACGCCGGCTGCTTGTATTTATGATTTTAGCCCCGTTGTAAATTGGCGGTTGCATCAACGAAGCCAGGAATGACCAAATTAAAGAATCTTTGCCATCTTGGCTTTTCTGTGGTGTCTAGAAGATGAAGGTAGATTGGGACGTACCTGGAGGTTGCCATACGTGAGCAGTGGCTGCTCCTGCAGCATAACCGCCTTCAATTTGCGTCGATGAGCTCTACCCTTGGGTGGCGAATTGGCACCGCCTGGCCAGGTGACTCCGTCAATCCACAATCGGGACTTGCTTCGACCCCACTTACTGCTCATGGACCATGTGCCTACCTGAAGTGGAGAGGAATGCATAAGAATGCTCGCAAGCCAATGTCACCCTGAGGTGTCATGCCAGCGCTCCTGTCAGAGGCACACACATCATTCAAAGTCACATTGACAAAAAAAGCGTGTTTACTCATCATAAAAGTGAAGGAGGGAACGATAAATATAATGCATTTTGTAAGAAGTGGCACTAACCTTAAACCAATTCATTCGACCATTGGTAGTTCTGGAATTGAAAATCAAAAACTTGGACACGTTCAGACCTCCGTTGGGCAGAAAACTTATTGGTTCACCATCGAAGTTCATTTCTAGGGATCGCATGATGCTGGGGCAGAGAAACAACACTTAACTGATACTTCATCATTTCACTTTGTTTCCTTCTTTGCACTCCCTTCTGCACAGAGCCGTTTTACATGGTCGTGTGTTAATTAAAAACCTCTGCCACCTTCGAGAGATGACATGAAACCTCGCAACAAGTCTGAAGTTCAGTTTATTCCACAAAACAGACCTTTGGTTAAGCCAGGAACCTACATCCCTACGTCTTGAAGTCAAGAAGAACCTTCTATGAAGGAAAAAAGTTGTCCTTATCGAAGCTCAGAGGTCTCAAAAACAGTTTAACTTAAGTTGACATGTAACTCCACTTTGTAGAGGAGTTGGAGACGCCTAGCCGTTGAAATGATTCCATTTTTGGACGGCGCTTTTAATGTAGCATATCTGATTTGATATCACCCAACTTGTAATGTTTAAATTTGTCGCCTTACTCATTGCAAGATGCTAAAATCCTCACTTGATCCGAAAGTACTTGCGAACACTTTGCCGTACAGTCTCATCTCAAATCAAGTGCTTTGAAGGCCTTTTTTTTCCTGTTAAGACCACACAGACAGCTCAGTTTGACGGATGAATGAAAGGTAGTCTAACTAAACCAGAATATCTACCAGCTAGAAAAAACGCTCGTAATTTTTTTGCACTAAAAATGGGAGTTTTTTTTGGTTAAATGTGTGTTAGTTTCTAAGATTCGGAGCATTATTTTTCAACAATTTACACACAATATTTGCAAAGTTTTTTTATCACTAGAGACTTAAATTTACTCCTGCGTTTGCTATCCATCCGATTTTCCAAAGGGAGATCACTCTGTTATTAAGTCGCCTTATTTATAAATTTTTACTGTTAAGGTCTATTACAGACTACTTATTTGGCAAATAAGTAGAGCCATTAAAGGAGCCTGATTGAGGACAAATAACAAGGTGTGAACGGATATGAGAAACTAACATAACTAGCAGTGTCTGGACATTGTTGAAAATGACCCTTTTCTGATCTCCATAGGGTCACCCAAAATGTCCGTATGATCGCATCAAAGTCACCTGTTTGCCTCCTTTGAGATTTCGCTTGTGTTTAAGGAAGGTTAGGAAAAGGCTTGTTCCCTACTCGTACAGACAATATCTTAAACTCCTCGTTATCAGGTGTGTTGATACTCAGTTCGGTTTGAGAGTTTGTCGGGAGGAGACTTCTAAAGTACAACTTACGATCCGGGTTGCATGAACGCAACGAGTTAACGCCTGTCTCACTTTGAGCCCTTTAGCACATTGAAAGCCTCCAAGTGAATTCCTACAAGCATAACTTTTCCTTCAGTTGGATCCGCTACCAACAATTTTATTTTTTTCTACGTACTCTTCACCATAGAATACCTCTATAAGTTGAGGAGGAGTTTGCTTTGAGGGAGCTTAGAAGATGACAGGTTTTAGAATGGCATTTCATAGACCAACTTAAATGCATCACCCAACAGTCGTGCCGGTGGATAGCGTAAATTTTCCTTAGTTCCACCAAATCTACCATCACCACGCACTTAGGATCTAAGGAAGGCACATTCCATGGAGCCAATACAACAATACAATTTGAAAGAATGGGAATGTCTACCAACAGAGCAAAATTTGAGAATCAGCAAATTTACCCATTCAAGGTGCCATTTGTTATGACTGCTGACACTCAGTACTGAGTGTCTCATGTCTGAAGGGTGGACTTCAGTCTTGAGGCTCCTTAACTTTACTGCTAAAATATACTTAATTGTTACATAATCATTTCCATCACACGTGTAGGAAGGCAGTCGTTGCTTTTCTTTTAATCATGAGCACGTCATCTGTTGACAGGTGACACAGCGAGAGTGGTTCCACCACGTACGTCACAGTTGCCTTCATTCACTTAGCAATGCAAGCATAAGAAGTGCAAAATGCTCCTTTTTCTTCTTTAGAATAATTTAGAAGAACTGTGTCTTTTGAAATGGGAAAAGTGCTACTGATGTACATCGACAGGTTTTTTGCGGTAGTTGAGACAATATCGGTTTTAAGATGAAATAAAGTACTCTTTATACGTACCTACAATTTCTTTGAGCACTGATTTATCCTCTCACTTTACAAGCTTAATAATTGGGTAGGAGGGAGTGGACTGAAGTTTGTTTGAGGCACAACGAAGAGGGTGATGGTATTTTATGACCAAAATGTGGGGATGTGGAAAGACATACCTATTTAGTCGACGTCCCCACTGCCAAACCACATTTTCATTGCTTTCGCATAGGTCTCCCGGTCGCAGCTTTTCCAACAATGAACGATAGTATTCAATGGTTTCGGGAGAGGAGGAGTTGAGGGAGATGGGCTTGACTGGTGGAAAGAGGTTAGTCATCTGTCTCACCAACTCCATAAGGGACTTGTGCCACACCTCACGAGCCAACTCTGCATGACGCTTCCGATTGTCTGCATCGTTCAGACAAATCAGACCTACCAATGATTAAGTGGGCCATCTTTTAAGATCTTTTGTGACATTCCTTGCTACTAATAAACAAGTATAAGTAGTGTCACTCGGTGTCGCCTTGCCGAGGATGAAAACACTAAGCTATAGCCTTTCGACAATAGCGTCAATTATTACTGACAGTAAATACAACTAATACGGGAGAAAGAAAACGGTTCTGCTTCAAGGGAGGCGACAACTTGGCTAAGCCAGTCAAGCACGACGACTGATGAGGAGAGTTGATAGCTCCAAAAACTTGTCCTCCCTTTTTAACTTTGGTCTTGAGACAAATCCAAATCATGCAAAGTGTTGAGTGGATACCAACAGTTTCTGCAAATACATCGATTGAAATGTCAGTCCATTTCCCTATTTATTTCTCTTCTTAAGGCTCAGTAGGGCGACATTTCAAAGCGATGGACTTGAGTCATTCCCAAATTCTTTTAAAACAAATTTTAGACTTTCGCATACTAACGCTTAACAGTGTCATAACTTTTGTTTATTTCCTTTTCAAAATACAGAAATATACAATAACACCAGAACTAATAATCTCGTTGTCCATTTCCATAGGGAATTGTGAAAGGCCACTTCATAATGGCTCGGAGAGAGCCCTTCATCAGATAATTGTTAAAAGAGAAAAAAGGCAAGGCATTTTCCCCCAGGAAATTAACAAACACTCTCATATTGTCTCCTATGTCCAGCAATGAAATAGTCACAATTTTTTGTTTTAACTCAATGTGCTGCAATTGTCAGGTTGCTTGCAGTGCTGCATTACGCTTTTCGCGTTGTGTGGAGGTCGGACAATTTGGCCTTCGCTTAACATGCGACTTCTAGACCTTCAGCAGTGTTAAAGACTGCCACTATCATGCACACTAAACTTGTAAGAAGCAAAAAAAAAAACAAATTGAAGAAGTGTTTCGATTGAAGTGTAAGCCAAGCAACGCATTGTCTCACCCCTCCTGTCAAGACGCCCGGCAAAAAGGCCACTTGACAATGCGGGAGGGTGAAGGAGGTGAGACGTACTTTTACCAACTCACCAAACATGCCAGGAATTTTTCTAAACATGGTAAACTCCGAGAGGACAATGTTGTCACGATTAACTGTCTCAACCTGATCAGCAATTGTCAATTGAGCCATTGTTGAGGGTGTAAAAATCCACACGTAGCCTGTGCCAAACAATTCGTTGAGGTGTTCATTCTCGGTGCCCTCCAGAATGTCGGCAATGTACGTTAATGCATTTAAATCATATCTGTAGTAAAATAAACACAAAAAATTTTTTTTAAATCTTCTCCCCCAGGGGATGTCTTTCTCCTTTAGACTTCTTTAAGAGCTTTACACTTTAAATTGGTCTCATACTTCGTCGCCTCGTAATCAACACAACACAACCCAAAAAGAAAAGTCCTGAAAAGTCCTTTGATGGACGTTAGACCCGAGCTGGGAACAAAGGAAGGGGGGAGGGGGAAGGGAACCACACAAGTCATCTCGGTTGCTAGGACACAGTTCATCAATTTGGAAGACGTGCGAAAGGAGGTGTAAAATCTCATCGTAGGCTAGTGGAAGCCTTAAAAGTGTGGAAGGTAGATGTCAATGGACGCCTTGTAGAAACAAAGGGAAGTAGGTTTTGGAGCTAGATGGATGACTGGTAGCACAGAATGGAATAAGGCTTTCTCTCCTCACAACTCCTTTCTCCTCAATCTCCATATCTGAGAGTTGAGAAGTCATGGCGTCTAGTAAGAGGGCAAATAGAGTCACCTATCAACAAGTTGGAAAGAAAATGTCACAAGGGAAAGTCGCTCTACTGGATTGGTGGTTACTTATTGAGGTGGAGAAAAGTTGTACACACAGTCTGAGTGCACTTTCCCTCATATCTACTTCCAATCCTTATCCCAAAATCTCGTCAGCTCTCTTTCCTGCCCCATCCCAATTACTCACACTGCAATTCTCTTTTTCTTCCAAAAATGAAAACTCTCATGCTTTGACATGAGTGATCGTATTGCCTACTGGACTGTGAATGCTACACCAGGGCTAGCAGAAAGCGTTTCCCACTTTGATTTCCTTCACTCTCTTTGCGAAAAACTCTACCAGTGCAAGGAATGCAAAGGATGAAAGGATGGCATTGAAGGACTGAGAATGCGTCTGTCTACGTCAACTCTCCTCATCCTCATGTTCCACAGAAACGACATCCACAGCGAAGGTAATATCTGTTGGAAATAGATTCTCCAAGATTTTTCGCCTTTACGCTTTAGTGTATAGACGTTGACAACGTGGCATTGCTCAAAACTCTACTCCCATGGGGCTACGTGAAATATCGTCCTTTCTTTTACAAATCCGTTTTTAGACCAGCGCTTCAATGTTTGGCCTTGGAGACCTTACGAGACCCTTCAATGTTTCCAACCCGTGCATCCGGCCTTCAGGCCGGACGCAACTCCGAGACCAATGACAGAATTTGACTGTTGACACGGGACATGTGTCTCGGAGAACGCTAAGGACGTCGCTCAAAAGTTGTCAAGGACGGTCGTGTGCGTGTGGACAGGCCGCCAAACCACTCCAAGTGTTCCTCTTTTCGCCTCTCCTACTACTCCAGCCTCTCACTTACCTACAAAGAAGTCTCCCAACGATAAAATTATCTCCAAGTGAAGAGGTAGAAGGGTTGCATGATGGACTTCAATCACTAGCCAACCTACCGATTTCCATTGAAGATGATGACTCGGCTAATCGACTCCCAAATTTTCTGCATTGCATCCAACAGAGAACCAAAACAATCCACAACGCCATTGTTATTTAGTAGGGTGCAGTCCGTAAATTTTTGATTTGTAAATCCATCAAAAGGAAGGAAAGCGTCTATTTCAAACCTAAAGCAATTAAAGACGAAGTTTTACTCTACCACATACGTTAGTACATTTGGCTATGAGATTCAAAAAAAAAAAGTTCTTCGTTGTGATGTTCACTTGCCTTAAGTTGGCAAAGCTTTACTCTTTTTTTATCCATTTTTCATCAAAGTTCTGTACATTCGCCGAGTATGATGAGAACGGCCTGTCAGAATGCATTAACTTCTGGTAGAGGTAAAGTCTGGTGATTTACTTCCTGAAGCCTTTTAACTAGGCCGGCAGGCAGTGCCTTCCAGTTCGCACTATCAACCGCTTCTGAATGCCTTCGCAATTGCGTTTGCTTGATTTGTGACACCGCCAACGTCCATTTGAAGTGCAATCTGCTGTGAAACTTTTCTTATTATCTTTTTTTAACCTTCTTTTGCTCTACTTTTACTGTTGTAATGCAAGTTTTCTCACTCTCAAAATATGCATTTAAATGAGGAGGCAAATCCATCCTCAGCTTGATTCCAGTGATAAAAAAAAACTTTTTTTATCGGTTTTGGTGCGTAGTAAGGTGAATAATTTCTCTTACTCATGCCCACGTCGACAATTGTTGGACCATCAACTTTATTATTCAGCTTCTCCTATCAGCCAATCAAATTGCCCGGAGTCGGTTTTAATTGGATCTCCAAATTTCACTTTTAGTTTGTGCGTCTCTAGTTTGGTTTAGCAGCTACTTTTGAATAAAAAAGGGGAAAAAAACCAGGAGCATTTGAGTGTCCTTAAATTGTCTGATTGCATACAAAAAGGGAAGCATTCTTATGCAGCCTACTCGTAATAATTTGGATGATCCTGTCTGGCTCTCTCCGTCTGAAGGAATTTCATCTCTGATATCAGCGGTCTGGAGCCGGGTGCATGAGTGTTGTAAAGGAATATTATCACATTCCAATTGAAGGCTTGCGAGAAATCCACCAACGCTCTCGCCACGTGCCACGTGAGCGGCTCCAGTCGGGTCGCCAGTTGTGTATCCTCCAACTGTGATAAGAAGGTGAGACTCGCTGAGTGTCAAAAAAGGAATCCAAAGCTTCCAAAATGTCAAAAGTGAATTATACTTTTGAAGATTAACTATGATTTTCTAACTTGGAAGTCATTGTCATAGGGGTGGAGGGCATGAGAAGATTACTGATCTCCTTACTTCCAAACTTTTTCACTAGAGGCGTATAAAACGAAAAAAAACGCCAATGAGCAACCGCAGTAGTCAGAGGAAGAGAAATTAGTGGACCAAAACCAACAGCTATTGCAAATTTGACGACGGAAAGAGGCAAATACTGTGTATGGGTCACAGGTTTGTTAAACAAAAAAAGGACAAGGAGGAGGAAGGAAAAAGTATGGCAATCAAGGCATAAAGTGAACAAAAAAGTATTATGCCATGAAAGACCACCAAATGATACTGCGAATGAGCAAACACATTTCACTTTTAAATGGACAAATACACTTTTCATTCGGATCATGTAAAATGAGGAAGGAAAATTATTAAAAAGTCTAATCAAGGGATGTCGTGTATTAATCCTTCATTCACTTTATCGTGCTGTAATGCTTTGTTTATGTGACCATCTGACGTTTGGCGGGCACTTTAGAACTTGTCTGGGCCCTGTACACGCGGGCTGGCCTTCGGGCCACGCTCAGGTCCCATTTCTCCTATTGTTTTCGGAATACATGTTTTCTACCCCACTTATGCCTTCTACTACCCCATTGGAAGCCTTGGGACGCTGCACTTGCCACTTGAACTCATTTCATTGTTGACTTTTTAAGCCCCAAAAGTATGAAGTTGGGACAAAAGTAAGACTCTTGAGTCACTGGAGCAAAACACTTTAATTAGGAGTTTGGAAAGTGTTTGTTGGAAGGTTCCTAACGATCGCACAAGGATTGTCACGACACGCTTAGTGGTGATTATTCAAAACAAAATGTCTGAGACAGTGAAGACAACAAACACCTGCCGCCGATTTCATTAAAAGGCAATATTTTTGTTGTTCATTGTCATGCCTCGATTTCCCTACTTAGCTGTGGGTGATGGGTGAAAAAGTTGCATTTAAAGTGTCCAACAAACCAAATGACCTCAAATTCGCCGACCCTATTGGGCATCCAGGTGAGAGTGGGCAATCCAAGGGATGCGGTGATTTGAAAGAACAGTTGAAGTAGTCTATCATGCCGCTGTCTATTCACCATAATTCCAATATCATTGACAACAAAGATGCTGGTTGGCAAATGTTCGTGATTTCGATGGCGTGCAGCCTGAAATAGGCGGCAGATCTCCGCCTGAATGGAGAGTGGATGGTAGGAGGTGATGGTAGTGGAGGTGTAGCCCGGATCCAGTAGGATGTGAGGATATGGATTCATGAGTTGACGTAAGTGACCACTGGCGTCGCCTTTTTCGGGTTTCAAGTAATGCGACACCTCAAATATGAATGCATGCAATTTGAGACGAACGTAGTCTTGCCCTACAGCGGTGGGGAAGGTGATGTTGAAGTACCGACGTGGTAGACGAGTGGTGTTGAAAAAGAAGTCACGTCTAGGCAGGCCAAAATGTTGTTGCGTGAGAGAGATGGCGAACAACGGCAACACTAGTAGCACACACATCCTCGGGCAACACATTCTGAAAGCAAAAGGTCATGACTACGTCAATCTCACATTCCTCATTTGGATGCTATTTGCATACCCTGTTTGACATGCCCTTTTCACCTCTTACTCACCTTCATTTTTGTACTAAAATTTTTATACGTGTGGATAGAAAAAAAATTCATTACTTTATGTTTAAAGACAAAGTAATTGTCAAATCTTTAGACGTGTTGCCTGACAAGCATAGTTAAAGTGCCACCTTTGCTGATTAGACCTTTTGTCTGCGACTCTTCTCTGCCCTGTCGCTCCCTCTCGATGTCAGAGGGGGGGGGACGGGGAAGGGTGGGGGTGGGGGCAACAGGTGACAGATTGATGCCGATTTTGTACTCGCAGAGGCGTCACATCAATGTAATCAAAGTTAAAAAACATGTAACACCTATTTAAGGTTGTTATATTTTTTATGTCAATAAGAGAATTATTTTGATTTGTTGTTGTTGCGTTTGCAGGGTTTTTTTTTTTTGCCTTCGCTTGACTTTAGTGAAAATTTTGGTGGCCTTTTTTTTGGGGCTCAACGACGGAGGTGGGTGAGTGGGTGTAAAAATGGTTCCTTTTCTACTGCATAACTCGATGCGAGTCATCCACAGTGATTGAAGAGATTGTGATTTTAACCCTCTTTCAAACGCAACATAAGAGTAGCCATCCTTTTTTGGTTTCTGGGCTTTTATGGCAGAAGTCGGCACCTAACAGTAGCCTAAAAGACAGTTTACATGAGTTACATGAATAAATCATCCTCCTCCTTTCATCCCGTGGTTGCGATGGCACCCTTCGGGACACCTTTTCGATCTGAGGTGATAGTTACGAGACAAAATCTTCATCCTCAAGGCAGCAATTCTGTTTGAGTCCAAAAGTCACCTTCCACTCCTAGCAGTACGCGACTTCTCTTGGGGAGGGCAAAAAATGAGCAACTCCTTGGCTTCCCATCAAAAGCCTTAAACGCATCGTCTTGGTCAGCCTCGTCCACCCCTTTTTAAAGCACACAACAAAAATTCACTTACTTACTTTCGAAAGTATGGTGTAACAGAGCGACTTTCATTAATAATTACACCAAAATTCGTGTTGTTGTCACGATCACGAGAAATGATGCCACAACCCTTGCCCACAGAATGCATTTCACCCCAACACTTTGCCCCTTCCTTCTCCTTTTGCGAAGTCTTACATTACCAATGGTTGGTAAAAAAGGAAATTATTATTTTTTTGATAGACCAGATTGCCCCAAAGTGCCTGGATCAATGCGAGGTGGAGGTGCAGGGTGTGTGTGTGTGCAAGAGCCTCCCATTTATTTTTTCGCCTTCTCTCCCATAGGGGAACCACTCAAAGTAATTAATTCATTAATTAATGGAGGCGTCTGTCGCAGTGAAAAGTCAGCGTTGTGATAAGACCGTGCTTTGTTAATGTGTGCCCATCCCTTCGGCACAAGGGAGAATTAGTTCTCCCCTCCCCTCCCCCCCCACCCCACCTTTTCCCCCTTTCCGTCGCCATCACATTGCCTTCTTATTGGTGGAAAGTGATTCACAAAGTTGCACATTATTTTGTTAAAACTTGATACTTTTGATGGGGAAAAAAAGGGTTTGCTGCCTGGCGTCTTGATTGAGAAAGGCGGAGTTTTAGCCTCGGCGCCAATGACTAGCCTATTTCTCTTTTTTGTGTATGACATCGCCTTGCCCTACTCACCGATTGCATCAAAAAATGACACGCTATTGAATGGATAGAGGAGGTCGCGACAGTCAAGACGACTAGTAAAATGCAAGTTGGCAATTTTTAAGGGATAATTATCTACTCATTACTTTGCTGTCTACCTTCTCGACTCAGACACACCGACAACGCTAATGAGACAGGTTAGTGGACACACAAGATGATCTTCAGTTTATGCATGAATTTAAAAGGAAATTGTGGTCTAATCAAGTAAGCTGAATTCTAACCCAATTCATCCATCGTCCTGTTGCATTGGTGAATGCTCTTTCCTGTCGAAGGAAAGAAGTGTTGTCGTGACGTGCAACTCTAAGTGTATGTGAGGGACGCGCAACCTATTTTATTCGCTCCATTCATTTTATGGGGGAGCGGAATTAAGCCTCTAGTAATGGAGACGAGCTCAATGCCTAAAAATTAAAATAAAACTTATCAAAATGGTAATTTTATAATTCCTCCTCTTTTATTTTTACTTTCAGTACAAAAAAAAACAAAAGAAAACAAACTGCGCAGTAGAAAGCACTCACTGGACAGGCCTGTGTAGGCAAGCGGTAAGATTAAGATCGTACAGTGAAGCGTGGCAACTTGCATACAAATAAGGACTTCTATGTTCTTTGTATGCTTTGTCTCACTGAGCCAAGAAATTGCCGTTAAACTTAACTAGGTGGTTTAATTTTCTGCTTTACTTAGGACAGGTGGACCCGCTTCAGCGCACCGCGCCCTTCCTTCATGAGGTCGTACAAAGTTGCGGCACCTTCTGACATACGCCAGGCTGAGAGGCTGTAGGCGGGGGAAAGTACAACGTCAGTGGCTTTTAACACCCGAGTGTAACCGAACCACAGAGTAAAGTACACTGTCAAGTTGTAACACTCTACTTCCATTGTTAAAATAGCTTTTTTGGAGTACAGATCATCTTTAGGATTCGTAAAATGTGCATTGTTTTATGCACTGAGGGGCCTTGATTGAGGATGCTTTCCGATTCTTTGCTTTATGTTTTCAAGCATAAAATGTTAGTCTGTAGATCCACTAATCTATACAAAATTTGTTACAGCAAGAGTTCGTGAAGAGAAGAAAAAGACAAAGAATTTTTTGTTTTGTTTCCAGTAGCCCTTTAAAAATGCGTTAGCCTCAAAGGGAAGCGCCGGTGTGAATTATAGCTGCTGCAGCTCACAACCTAAACGGCTGGAGATTTGGCGCTAAGTCATGCAAACCTCGCGTTGAATAACGGCACTTTTCATAAATAAGTGGAAATGGTAATAAAATAAATTTTAAGGCGCATTGGTCACCTTTTGGGACTATTTGCCTGGTGCGTACAAAACTTTTTGTCGCCTAATTCAGTCACGGCATAGAGGCGCCAAAAGTCATCCCAGTAATGACTTGACTCATTTTTTTGCAAATACCAAACTTGCAGCGATTCGAAAAAAATGACTTGTAAATATCGTGATGTCAAAACACACTGCCATGAAAAAACTGCACTTCACCTCTACTTTGCTTGTTTTTTTTTTTCAATTGTCCAAAAACTTAACATGGGCGTTAAGATGAATAAGTGGGCACAATTAAGAGCACAGGCAAAGAAAAATTGCAAAATGCAATCTTACGAAATGAAGTTGAAATGGAGATGACGATTTCTTTAAATGAGCTGATAATAAGTGGGACTGGGATCCGCACTATAAGGCGTTGGGACCGCAAGGACGCCGCGCCCCGCGCTAGTGGACGGCTGGCAGAGGGTTGAGGGTACGGACACCCGTAGAGGGAAGTTAGATAGAGAGAGAGAGAGAGAGGAGAGCGTGTTGCGAACGTGATAAAGCGCATACGCTGGCAATAAAAAGGCCGTACACTCGTGGTCGCCGGCTTCTGTCTACTCAGCCAATGAGCGTTCACGGCATTCCTGAACTTCCGCCCATTAAACGTCTGGCCACCCACAAGTCACAAGCAACAACACGAATTGTAAATTAATTCGAGCAGTCATTATCATGACGCAGGAGGGAGAAGAATAGTGAAAAAAAAATGAATCGTCTGTATTATAAAAATGCAATTTTCAGTGCAAAACCTCGGTCTTTGAAAGATCTTGATTTGCTTTCTCACAATCTGAATGTATTCCTAACCGCTGACAGTTCTGCGTCTTTTGAAGTAACAATTGGGTTTTAAAACCTTACCTTAGTATTTTGCTGTGATTAGTAAACAACACCGGGTTCGTCCTTCAGATGGGAAAAAAGCCTTCAACTTTAATCACCGCTGACAGAATCATTGAAAATGGGCGGGTTGTGAACTTTTCTAGATGCCAGCGATTGCATTGCATGGGGTGTTATGCCTACCTTCCAGGTGTACTTTTCTTGATTTACTTGATGAGTTCAATTAATATGCTCTTCGTGTTAAATGTTCCTAATAACTTCGAATTCGCGCTTTAAATGTAACTAAGGCGGAGGGGCGGTCATTGAACCAGGGAAGGTGTGCATTCGGTTTAATTTTAACAATTACCGAAACATAATCAGTGGGATTGCATTTCTTTAAGTCTATAGGAATGTAGTGTTTGCGCATTAAAGTAAAGCTTTACCAAGGCGAACCACGTCAAGATGCTCGCTTGCCACGAAAACCGCTTTGAAAGACATGATTTACTGGCTACACGGCATTTCGTTGTCAGATTGACAGCTGCACTTTCTACTGCAAAAAGATCTACGTGAGAAGAGGTAGGAAGGACTACCATTTAAAAAGGTATTACTGATAGAGTGTTCGAAAAGCTTATGTAACTGCCTTTTCCTTCAAAAGTCAGTTATAGCATCTTGCTGTCTGCTTGACTTACTGTCATTGTCATTTAGACGGCTAAATTGTCTTTATTGCCGTGCAAGCACTAACAATCAGTCCTTTTGTTTATCGAAGAGGGCGCTTTTGTGTGAACATATAGTAGGCCCATGTTTACCTCTGGAGAAGTTCCAGAGCTCCGCTTTGGCGACACTGGGAAGCGGCCATTGCTTAAAACAACTTCCAGTCTAACTTCTGCTGTCCGATGATAAACCTCAGAAAAGTGGCAGAAGTTCGAATCAGGGATCCGCACTTGAAGGTGCAAGAAAAACTTTCATTGCTCCACATTCATTTTAACTCCAGTTTCTACTAGTTGAGAAGTCTTTGGAAAAATTTACCTATTAAACTTTATCAACTCAGCGCCTCCTTGTAGACGCTGACAATGTGAGAGTGCACGAAGCTCTCTCGCTACAGGAATGTGCTTAAACTTGAATAATCCATGGACGCGCGTGATGGTCATCAGAATTTCCGTTCCT